ATATCAAGAACAATGTTGGACAAATTGTAAGACAAAAGTTGAAACAGTTCACTTGTGAAGCGTTTCGTCCGTCAGGTCTTCATCGAAATAAATTTAATGACGGTATATGCACACAAATGATTGGTGCTGTGGATTTTAGAATTCGTTTATATATATATATATATATATATATATATATATATATATATATATATATATATATATATATATATATATATAACTGAATTTCAGATCTTCCGTTATGACTGTGTGGGATACCTACTAACAAAGGTGATGGAAAGAAAAAGACTCTAAATGAAATCGGCTATATATATATATATATATATATATATATATATATATATATAGATAGATAGATAGATAGCTAGATAGATAGATATAAAATATAACATTTGTTATACAATTTTCCCTAAAACCCACCACGCACACATACATACATGCATGCACACACCAACCATATGTGTGTGTGTGTGTTTCAATTTTCATCTCTCTCTCTCTCTTTCATTCTCTCTCACTATCTATCTCAGTCTGTTCATATCTATCTCATTTTGTTTTCTACTGAAAGTTCTTTATATGCATTTATCTATCTGTCGCTCTCTTTCTATATATATATCTATCTATCTATCCCTCTCTATATATGTGCGCGTGTGTGTTTGTGTGTGCATGTGTGTTTTTTTTGTGTTTTTTTTGTGCGTGTGTGGGAAGAAATAATAAAATATATCCTTAAGCTTAAAATAAGCTAAAAGCTTAAAATATAAACAAAATTAGGGGTTCAATACCAAAGTCAGCAGAACTAAAATATATTAAATTAAAGTAATATTAATACAATAATATGCAAAATTAATTAAAATCCGCCCCTAAGAATTTCATTTCGTAACACAATCGTCAGGAGGATAAAATTTTATCCTCACGACGATTGTGTTACAACATGAAATTCTTAGGGGCGGATTTTAATTAATTTTGCATATTATTGTATTAATATTAATTTAATTTAATATATATGTCTGTATGTGTCAACACACATGCACAGACACACGCGCACACGCACACACACACATATATATTCATTTTCAAGAGCATTGTGTTGTCACATGCATACTTGCATATGTATGTGTGTGTATATAGGTGCTAAGTATTTAAATGTCCTTTTTCATTTAAGTTTTATTGAATTTTTATAGAATATACACTGAATGTGTATATGAATGTATGTAGATATAAATATGTGTATGAATGTGCATATGCATCAGTATATGAAATTATATATATACGTATATGTGAGTATGTACGCATCCACGAATATATCCACACGTATGTAAAAATGCAAATGGCGCAGCCACTCGTGTCCGAGGATGCCAGTCTACTATGGCGGCTTGCTAATCTCACTGTTCAGGCCCGTTTGTGTTTGTTCAACACCCACAGAGCCCACCTGTGGTTTATACGGAATCTATGCTGAGCAGACCTTAGTTACAGTTTCTGAGAGAGAACGCAATTATCTAGTGTGATCAACAGTCCGAACAAGGCCAGCACTCACTGACCCTACTCTCTCATCCAATCGCAAAAATTAATTAAGAAGGTTACATACTTTTCCCACTAAGTTTCTTTTCTTCATTATGCCTTGTATGTATTAAATTCTCCTGTTTCTTTTTTCCTTATTTCTAATAAATAGCATTCGTTTCCCTGTTTTCTTTAAAAACTTCTTCATTAGTCACATATCTTGTCCATGTTTGTTCTGTATTCGTCTGGTCTGGTCTGGCCTGGTTTTTGCACGTCCGCACGTTAAGAAAGCTTCTCTCGACAGGAAAAAAAACTGGTGTTATATAGGGCTACCAGTCACAGACACACACGGACTATTACACCTGCCGAGTATTGTTCATAGGCAAATAGGCAGCGCCACCTACTCTAACTAGGTCTTCTCTCAACAACCCATTGTTGAAGGGGATGCAACTCTTGGTGCTTACAGAACGACATACACCAACTCGGAGACCTTTATCAGGCTGACCCGATTCTCTGTTACATGTTCTTAGCTTTTGTCCATTGTTGTGGTAGGATCCACCTAATTTGCATAGTGGAGTACCGACCATATAAATATGGTTGGTACCGGGAAGAGAGGAAGGAATCAAGAGATTCAACCAGAGACTCTGCCCGACTGCGACTCAGTCAACACATTCTCCAGGAACGGTCTTACCAGGAATATACAAAAGACTATATGTAAATATTGTGTACACTTTCTTGTTTCAATACATTTTGTTTTAAGTACATTTTGTGTTGCATTATTATTCCATGCATTAGTCAAGTTTCAACATCCATAAAACCGCATCTTGCATCACTTTCTGGTTCCACCCCTTTTCTGTTGATTTAGTTAAATGTAATCGCTACTTCTACTCTAACAAATTCTTTTCTCACACTTTCCACCCATGGAACTTCTTTCCATTTCCTTGCTTCCATAATAACTACAATCTTTAAACATTTAAATTCAACGTCAAACGCCATCTTCTGTCTTCTTGAATCCCGTCTATCTTTTGTCCTTTCCGAAATCCTCCCTATTCGCAGACGATTAGATTTTACACAGCTATTTATCGCTAATTTGTTGGTTTCTAACAATATTTTACAATCGTTGCTTAGTTTCGAAAAGACATCTTTATCTGCCACATTTTCCGTCAACCAATGAAAAATTGTCCCGTCTATAAAAAGTTTCCGTACCCAGATAGTTGAAATGCAATGAGAGTCTCTAACAAATCATGTGTCAAATGATGGCCATCTGATGACTATCTGGCCGAGCGTAAAGTCGGGGTAAAATGTCATTACAACTAATAACTTGACGCCTATACTTTTGCCAAATCACACAAACCACAACTCTTGAAAAGTTGTAAGTTCAGCAAAAACTACAATGGTTAGCACCTGTAAATAGAAGGGGAAATACTGATAACATCAACATGTTGACATTCCACATTACCAAAAACAAAAAGTTTGGAAGGAAACTTCCATCAATACTAGAAAGTGCGTTAACTTTAGAAATCTATTTTCATGAAAAAATGTTTTAAGGAATAGATTTTATAAATTTGGGTAACGCTATGGGATAAGTGAATTAATGCCAAATGTTTCCTGTTTGAAAGAGTTTAATTTCCCCATTACCATTACAGTTGGTGAAAGTAACAAATGGCAGGAAGCTGTGGAGATTAGTAATCATCCAGGTTCTGAAGAAACATGGTTCATGGAGAGATAGAGAGAGATGTGTTGTTACGTTTAAGCTGATTTTCCGTTCATTTTACTGTTTTTGTTTGTATAAAATCGGCAAAAAAATATCTTCTTTATTCCTTTTAACAAACAATTAACTTTAGAAAAAAAAAACGACATGGAAATACCTCACGATATCATAAACTTTTTTTTTGTCACGATATGAGAATACTAGATTGTTCAGAAATTGATATGGGAGCTCAATTACAAAACGAAATAAACAAATTGCAAGTCCAAACTCGAAGATCTAGAGTCAAAAATCCCAATACACATGAACGGCCAGAAACCTAACGCAAAAGACAGTCATTCGCAAGCCGACGGATGAGGTAGAAAAATAAACTACCCTTTAGTTTCAGAGCACCAACCGCTTTTATCAAGCGGAACAATTCTTGTCATTGGTCAACGCTTGAAGAAGACAAACGCTATTAGCATATTTGATAATGCATTTATGATTTGATAAAGCATTTGATAATGCATATTTGATAATGCCTTTATGGCAACAGCTGTTACTCACTTGTTTCTATTTTATGTTCGTCATCGTACAGATCATACGTGCCCCCTTTTTCCGGGTAAGTGACTTTCTCTTTCTACACATAGATCTCTCAAGATTCAGCCTGAACTAAAAAGATCAATTACACGCAAACGATCATCATTGCCCGAATCGAATATCGATCACAGATATACTGGGAAATGTAATAAATGTCTGAAATATCGACGGAATAATTACTTACCAAGCTTGGTTTAGTTTCCACACAGGTTCACAAATTTGGGGCATCCAGTAAATGTCGAACTCATTACTTATGAACTTGATCTTGTTGAAAATATAATGCGTAATGAAGGGGTTGTTTTTTTTTTCTTTACCTGGAGAATTGTAGAATACATTTTATCATTCATAGTACCAAAACTGATATTTAGTGACAGGCCTCTACTCAAAGTCGACAATAGATAAAACCGATATTTTCTGGCTCTCCAGACATAAAATGAATCTAGTAAACACACCAAAAAAAAAAAAAAAAAAATGAAAGGGACCTGAGACAAGGACGTGTCTTCTCGCCAGACTTATTCAACCTTTAATTGCTTTAAAGATATACAGGTGGCACAGTGTTGATAGCAGACACAGAAAGGAAACTATAGAGAATACCAGAGTAGCTAGTAAAGGTAAGCAAAAAGAAATTACTACACCTCAACGGTAGGAAGACAGAACGTATGGTTATCAGATAAGGATCGCCAATTTGAACTCAAAGGACCTCGACTGTAATTTGTATTTAGCTTGCCGATTGCCTTCAAATAATCGTTACATAAAACTGTATCCCCATTTAATAAACATATAGAATTCAGGGAGAAGTGATTTCAGGCAATTCTTAAAGTGATTAGTGTTAAACGAACACTGGCCGTCACAGCTAAAATTCTTTTTTGCACTTGTTTTGATATCATCCTGTATATATAGTGTGTGCCTGCGTGCGATCACTGGATTATCTAATTACATAGAACTATGAGACATTAAAACAATAGAAATGTGATCGTAATGGTGGGTATTAAGAATGCCATGGACAAGGCATGTAACAAATTAGGAGGTTTTCAGGGTTTTTTTTTTTTACAAACTAGAAAGAGACATTCAAACGCAGCTGAAATTCAGGGGTCGTATAATGAGGAAATGAGACTTGGAGAGCTTAATGCTCATGTGACATATAGAAAGCAAACGAAGCACACGAATACAGGCGCTAATCTTTTTGACAATTTCGAGAAAAAAATGGGAAAATCAGTGACTACAAAGAAGAAGAAGAATGAATGAATGAAGAAGAAGAAGAAGAAGAAGAAGAAGAAAGGAAGGAAGGAAGGAAAGAATGAAAAGAAGAAAAAAAAGAAGAAGAAGAAGAAGGAGGAGGAGGAGGAGAAAGAGGAGGAGGAGGCGGAGGAGAAGAAGAAGAGTTGTAAAAGAGAAAGTGCTGATATCATCGTTTTCTTAGATCAATTATGAAACGGTTTCAAGCGAATGAATCCTTTCAGTGTTGATGAAGAAAACCCTTAATCGGATCTTATAGACTGGCGCTACACTATCGCAAATATCTTTAACAAATAACAAAAAACACATCATTTAAAGAGCCTCAAAAGTAGCAACAACTAAAATGGATAGCACAAGTAACCAGAATGGAAAATAATGCTATCATCAAGATGCCGATATTCCCCACTAGAATAAACAAAAAATTTGGAAGGAAACTTCCATCAATACTAGAAAAGCGATAACAATAAACTTAATTGATTTTCATTGATTTATTCGTTTTTTACGGCTCATCAGCCGTTTTGCAGCTTATTTAAAGCCAGAAAATATTTTTGGATTGTAAGATTTTTTTGAGATAATAATGATTTAGAGACAAAAATGTTTACTACTTAAGAGGTGGATTCATAACTTTTCTAGGGGTATTTACGCGTGAATATAACGAACACAAATTGAATTGGGATTGACTCTCCGATTAACAATTCAGAGCCATTATCCATTACACCACATCTAAACTTACAGCATCTAGTACTCCCAGTCAGTCACCCATCTAAATACTGACCAGGCCCGACGTTGCTTAACCTTAGTGATCGTACAGAAACCGCTGTTTCAATGTGCTATGGCCGTAAGCCAAAAGTGGGCCTGAGAAGCCTATTTTCTTGAGAGATTGTTTTAAGGAATAAATTTTATATATTTCGGTAACGCTATGTGTTCGGTGAATTAATACCCAAAGTTTCCTGCATGGAAACGGTCAATTGTAATGGTAATATCAGACATTACTATTGCAACTGGTGAAAGGATCAAAAAGCATGATATGGAGGGCAATGATCCTCCAGGGGCTGAAGAGACATGTCCCATGTAACTAGAGAGAGAGAGGGAGATGTAGAGAGAAAGGGTTGTGTCATTATGTTTGTCTAATTCTCTGTTCATTCTACTGTTTTTGTTTACGTGTGGTACTTTTATTTACAAAATCGTCAGAAATAAAACATCGCCATTGTCCGTCTTAATAAACAATTAACTTAACGAAAAACGACATGGAAATCTGATCTTTTCCTCATGCAGCAAAAGAAATGATTCCTCGGAGTAAAAGATGGACAATCGAGCGTCGAATAATGTTTGTCTGGGAGATGGTAACGAGCATACAAGCTCTGCTTGAACGGGAGGAGTCGGGTTTTGGACGAGGGTGATTTGCTAACGTCAGAAGATAAACCACTTGGGGGGTGAAAAAAAAAAAGAAGACTTTTATCAAATACATCTGTAAGCGTTTTCTTTCTTTAATATTGTTGAAGAAGTCACATAAGCTATACAACATGTATCTGGCGTGCAGACCCTCACGAGATTAAATGTCAAATCAGCAAATTTCATTCAACGGCTGATACCAAATTGTAACATCAGCAGTCTATCGCATGCGTGGTGGTTAGAACAGCGTACTGGCACCAAAGAGGTCTGATGAGCATACACGAACAAAATATTAAAAAAAAAAAACATTCCGTGCGCGATCATGGTTGTCCATAACTTTATGTTTTCTCCATTAATATTCCTCCCTGTTCATGTTCTTTTTTGTATTTACTCCCTCTTTCCATCTGCTCCCCCTTGACTTGATGGTCTTTTGAGTATTATATTTTCCAAACCTCCTTTTCTTATTATGTGTTCCAAAATTTACTCGTTCTGATTGTAAGCAGAGGTGTTCTGTATGTTCTTAACACTTCCTCGTTTCTCACATGCTCCGTCTATTACACTCAGTATTCATTGGAATGACGCCTCCGTTGTCTTACCGTCCTGGGTATGACGATAAACAACATCCGCATCCTGGGTATGACTATAAACTACATCAGCGTCCTGGGTATGACGAAAGTCTACGTTCGACAGCAAGGCTTCTGATCAGGAGGTTTTACGGAGCGTAGAACCACCTCTTAATTGCTGGTGTTCCCAGGTCCACCCTGACCCGGGTTGGTAGCACCTGTCAGGGTCCCAGCTATGGGCAAATAGTTAACCCCCAAACTGGGGTCAAAACACTGTAAGTGTAAAAATAGGTTTCAATACCAGCAATACATTTTTGAAGAAAATAAATATTAGCAGCAATACATTTTTGAAAGTAAAAAAGTATTACCAGCAATACATTTTTGGAAAAAATATTATCAGCAATACATTTTTGTAAATAATTATTGCCAGCAATACATTTTTGAAGGAAAAAAATATTACCAGCAATAATTTTTTTAAGGTAAAAATATATTACCAGCAATACATTTTTGGAAAAAATATTACCAACAATAAAAATCTTGTCAGCATTAAATAACCCATTGAGGTTGATATAACGTAAAACAAACCAAACCACATTAATCCATTGTCTGAAACCTTAAACATCTATGAAGAAACTGTCCCGTACGATCACTGAAGTTAAGCAACATGGTCAGTACTTAGATGGGTAGCTCCTTGGTAATACCAGAGGTTGTAAACTTGGATGTGGAGGTGGGGGATCTAATGGAATACGGTTCGGAATTGTAAACTGGAGGGCCAAGTTCCAATTTTAGTTGGGTTAGTTATATTCATTTAGTCGCAAATATCCTTGGGAAAGGTATGAATCCACCACTTCTTCCTCTAAGAATGGGTTACTTAGCAGAAAAATTATCACTAAATCATTATTATCTCCCAAAAATTCTATCTAAATATATTTGTTGTCTTTAAATAACCTGAAAAGGGTCGATAAGCCGTAAAATACAAATTATTCAATCAATTCTTCTCTGTTTTCTCTGTTGTTTCTTCTTCTTCGTCTTCTTCTTCGTCTTCTTCTTCTTCTTCTTCTTCTTCTTCTTCTTCTTGTATTAGCTAGATAGCTAATTAGAAAAAGGTAGATGTTATGAGGTTGAACCAAATACGGGTAATGAATATTGATTTCGGATTTGACGTGGCTTTCCCTCTCTCTCTCTCTCTCTATATATATATATATATATATATATATATATATTATTTTAGCTTATTTTATAATAATATTAAACGCTAGCTCTATGTAGGGTACAATGTTATTTTCTTGTGACAAAGAAACTTGTAAACTGCCGGACTGAACAACAATACAAAACACGGAAATATATACCATATAAGTTTATATCATATATCATGATTTTCTCAAATATCTACCTACAAACATTCTCTATTTTGAATTTATATCCCAATATTATATTAAATTTATAATATCCTAAAACTTTGAATCTACATATAATATAGCATTCCTTCCATCAGACGCAGAAATTAAAAAAACAAAAAACAAAAAACAAAACAAAAACCAAAGCTCATTTACCATTTGTGCTTGATGAATTGGGTAACCATGAAACTCTGCGTTGCATTAGAAACGTTGGTATATGGGTATTTATTAGTATATAAGTTATAGCTCTGTTTAACTACACTGAGCACTGTCTTGTTTACACCTAAAATTAAATATATATTTCTTTGCTCATTTATACATGTACGTTATCACACGCATATAGAGTTGCTAATATATTATTTAGTTTATGTTCACATAACTATCTTTCTATCTATCTATCTATCTATCTATCTATCTATCTATCATGGGTCCTTACCTAGATCGACAGAATGAACTCTTCCTAACGCTATGTATGTTACGTCTCTCAAGAGAGACGAATGGTATTGAATCGAGTCGAGCTGATATACATGTATATATGTATATATGTGAGGTGGACATCGAAGTTACCTATGGGTGTTGACTTTGATGTCCGATTTTATATTTACATACACTATTTTAATATATTAAATAATATTATTTTTAATCATTTTTATCTTTGTATATTTGCTCGCTTAAGTTATATTTCAATAAGTGGTGAGCAATTATGTAATGACACTTTCAGTCTTAAATATTTATTGGTTGTAGTATCCGATTGTCTGGGTCAATGTCTGTGGATGTGTGTGCATGTATTTATAATTGTCTTATCATAGACAATTATAAATACATGTACACACATATATATATATATACATATATATATATATATATATATATATATATATATATATATATATATATATATAAATATGTCTGGGTGCTTATATATTATAATCTGATTGCGTTTGTTTTACGCGTGAGTTTAGGACCCCATTCACACACTCTTAGGATTAAAATGTATACATTGTCAAGGGACCGGATATAAAATTAGCTAAAGTAACTTCAATGAAGAAATAAATTGAATAACATATATATTTCTTCTTTTCTCCTCAGTAATTTTATAGTAGTAAACTTAATAGCGATTAAATTTTGATTTTGAAATTAGCAGTTTTTAATTTTAATATTAAATTTTATCATATAATTTAGTAATTATTGGTAAGAATTAATTCTTTTTTTAATACTACCCATATTTTAAACATCTGAATAGCTATTATAACTTGACTTCGTTGTCAAGCTTTTGAATTTTCCTATACTTGTATTTTTGATTGGTCCATCTAGCTTTTAACAACAACGGTTTCCCCTTGTGAAGGATTGTTAATTAATTCAAAACTTTTAAAACCATTTATTTTACATTCAACATCATCACTTGATAAGACACCGAGGGTGTTGAAACAAAATAGCTATTTTTGTAGTGATTTCATAACATTTATGTTATAAATTTTAAAAAATAAATAATTATATCTGCTCTACTTTTGTATTGAGCACTCTTTTAAAGAATAGTATTGGTTGGTTATTGGAATTCATTCCATATATACCAATCATATACTTATATATATATATATATATATATATATATATATATATATATATATATATATATATATATATATATCTCGCTCTATCTCCCTTCTTCCTCTCATCATTTCAAATTCCATCATGAAAGCGGATTTAGAAGCGATGTTGGCTGATCATTCCTATCGTTTTTTTTCTATTGCTCACTCAATACAAAGCCCAAGTGTCATTCATGGTCCAGGGTTGCTAAATTTGGTTGTTTTAAGGGAGAGCAGGAAGGAAGCAAGACATGCTTATCATGAAAATATGAAGACGCTATAACTGTACTAAGCGAGTAAGCATCCCCTCGGGAGTCCGTTTCAAAGTTCATTAGTTCTATAAGTGGCATCGACGCTAGTAGTCAGTTCACATATAGGTATTTATACATGCGCCTGCTCACACAGAATGTAACACAAGATCAAGTTTAAAGTATGATTTGATAATCAAATTGCCCACCTCTCCTTGGCACTTCTCCTTTAGCGGTTGTGATAGATAAATCAGTAGAGAGTGAATGAGATAAATAGAAAGAAACAGACTGAGATAGATAGATAGATAGATAGATAGATAGAAACAGATAAGATAGATAGACTAGATAGATAGATAGATAGATAGATAGATAGATAGATAGATAGATAGAAACAGACTGAGATTGATAGATAGATAGATAGATAGATAGATAGATAGATAGATAGTCAATCTGGGAGAACAATGATAATGGAGAAATGAAATAGTCCTAAAACTAAGTTGGACAATAAACTTTAGAACGGAAGCGCTTGTTTGAATGACACACGCAAAAAAAAAAAAAACAAGAAAAACGAAAAAAAAAAAAACATGGAAGAAAATGAAGGAAAACTGATCATCAGCACGTGTTGGCAACATGTCACTATTAAAACATCGTTCCATCGTCGGCACCGTTACCAGCAGCAGCTTCATCAATTCATTATAGTTGGTCTTCTTTTGTCCCCACACGGCACCTCAGCCCTCCTCTACAGTGCCCCGACCGATCCTTTCTACCCTTGGCTGTCACGGGTGGCGCGAAAAATAGGCATGGCAGAGGAAACAGCACGAAAAGTGACAGAAATTAATGAGAACGCTGTCAAAATATTTATTAACCATGAAAGGCAGAGACGCCATTTAAGTGTTTTTGATTCCTTGGTTAAAATTGTTTTTCACCGCGTTGTCTTTTCTTTTTCATCGTGTTTTTTTTTATTTTTATTTATTTTCATTGTTCTTTTTTTTTTGTCTAATTTTCTGTTTAGTTGTACGTGTTTTCAGACGTTAATTTTGACTAGTTCTACACTTTATCAGCATCGTTTATCACTAAATCGCATTTTTCGGATATATATTAAAAAATGATACGCGCATTGAATTAGCGAAAGATTTATTTCAAAAGCTAAGCAATTTTCTTTGAATAATTTTTAGTGGAAAAAAAAACACCTTTAATATAAATCGTCTTATTTCTTCCCGGTCTTTTGAACAGGAGTGGAGGTTTATTCATTTTTTTTTCCTGTTAGGATTGGATTTCCAGTTCTTTCTAAAGTCTACTTCTAACATCTTCACTTAAACTCTAAAATTTTTCTTTTTTTTTTTATCATTTCACCCCAAGCAAGACAATAAAGCCAGTGAGTCGCAAGGGGTTACTGAAGGTGAGAGAATATGAGAAAAACTACTATTAATGAAAAAGTATAATAAAAGAAGAATTAAGAAGACAGAGGATAACGATTGACATTTCATTTAAATTTTTGATGATCATACTTGACTGGGAAGCAAGAACTCTAAAAACGATTTACACAAGGGATATATATATATATATATATATATATATATATATATATATATATATATATATATATATATATATTGTGTGTGTGTACTAGAATCTTTTGTCGTTTTCGACGTATGAGAGTCAAGCAGCTCAGTTTTTAGAACCAACATCCAAACTACCCACAGTAACATTTAATTATAGTGGTGAAAACTTGTGCAGAAGTAACTATATTAATTACTAGTCGAATTACCCGCTCCTTGCTGTGTGTCACACTTTTTTGTAAGAAAATGAGGATTGATTTTAAATCATTGTTGTAATTTGTGGAGAAAAATGATGCATTTCAATATTACTCAATGATCTTGCCAATATGGCCTCCATCTTCTGGCTTTCTCCTTCTATATTTTAAATAGGAGTCATTCCCTTATTCAAATTTATATTTAATTTAAATCAAAAGGAAGCATTTTTCCGTGGGGTGGATTAACAGCTTGATCTGACCCCTTTGATATGTATTTCACGCAATACTTCATTGAATGACTTGATGAGCAGATTTCAATATTGATACGCCAATTGAATTGTCGCAACAAATATGTATTATAAGGCACTACCTCCTGATTGGAGATTTCTTGCTTAACCTGATGTCCATATTGTCTAGTTCCACGTGCCATGCCTTTTCTGACTATATCAGTTTCAGTTATTTCCTTTAGTTATTTCTTTTTCTAAATCAACTCTCCCATTTTTGTTCATCTCTGCTGTGTCCAGGAATTGAACTCACAACTCTTCGGATCAAGTCACTGGATTACTTCAACCAACGCCTTTATCCAATTGGACCATGTGTCCTTGGAGACACGTGGAAGCTGAACAATCTACCGCAGTGGACAAAATAAAGGGTTCGTTCGAAATTCCAAAGAGTATCACCTGAAGAAGTTCGAAAGGTCGTGAACATGGCGACAAAGATGAGGACAACTGTCTGAGCGATGTAAATTGTTGGAGACCAAGTAAATAGTTAAAGAAATAACAAAACAAGTGTCGCAGATATATCATATATTAAACATTAAGTACAACAGAAGAGTATTACACGACTAGTGAATGTGTGTCGGTTGACCCAGCGTTCAATCTATTCGACTGTTAATATTTAACAGCCCCCTCACACCACGAGGGTGTATATGGTACAATGCCGGTTTATTGTGGCTATTCCAAGCCCGTAGGCTCGGCCAAAAATAATCCCTTTGAACCCGCCTAAACGGGTTCATGGACTGTCTACCTCCCCGATTGATACTTTGCCCTTCGGCAAAGTCTCGTCCGGGTTCCTCTCCGCTCAAGGCAGAGAGTTCGACAGATGAACAATCTATGAGACTGTTCCCCCTAGGGTTTTCTCCTACTAATCTTATAGTAGGCGGAAGAATCCAGCAAAGACTCTTTAGATGAAAGACACCACAACATAAATAGTGTAAATAACTCATCTCAGAAATATAGACAGATCCTGAGGCAGGCCGGAGGGTACAACGAACGAAACGTCGTGAATATGGCAATAAACACGAGGACAACAATCCGATCGATGTAAATAATGTAAATAGTGTAAATAACTCATCTCAGAAATATCCTGAAGCGGGCCGGATCCTGAATGCACGGCCGTCGTGAATACAATGAACGAAACGTCGTGAATATGGCTCAGAAATATAATCTGAACAGCATACAACGACAAACGTCGTGAATCCGATCGATGTAAATAGTGTAAATAACTCATCTCAGAAATATAGACAGATCCTGACGCAGGCCGCAGCATACAACGAACTAAACGTCGTGAATATGGCAATAAACATAAACATGAGGACAACAATCTGACGCAGGTCATGATGTCGTGAAATTGTATAAATAGTGTAAATAACTCATCTCAGAAATATAGGCAGATCCTGACGCAGGCCGCAGCATACAACGAACTAAACGTCGTGAATATGGCAATAAACATGAGGACAACAATCTGATCGATGTAAATTGTATAAATAGTGTAAATAACTCATCTCAGAAATATAGACAGATCCTGACGCAGGTCGCAGCATACAACGAACGAAACGTCGTGAATATGAATAAACAATAAACATAGAGGACAACAATCTGATCGATGTAAATTGTATAAATAGTGTAAATAACTCATCTCAGAAATATAGACAGATCCTGACGCAGGTCGCAGCATACAACGAACGAAACGTCGTGAATATGGCAATAAACATGAGGACAACAATCTGATCGATGTAAATTGTATAAATAGTGTAAATAACTCATCTCAGAAATATAGACAGATCCTGACGCAGGTCGCAGCATACAACGAACGAAACGTCGTGAATATGGCAATAAACATGAGGACAACAATCTGATCGATGTAAATTGTATAAATAGTGTAAATAACTCATCTCAGAAATATAGACAGATCCTGACGCAGGTCGCAGCATACAACGAACGAAACGTCGTGAATATGGCAATAAACATGAGGACAAACAATCTGATCGATGTAAATTGAATATAAATAGTGTAAAAATAACTCATCTCAGAAATATAGACAGATCCTGACGCAGGTCGCAGCATACAACGAACGAAACGTCGTGAATATGGCAATAAACATGAGGACAACAATCTGATCGATGTAAATTGTATAAATAGTGTAAATAACTCATCTCAGAAATATAGACAGATCCTGACGCAGGTCGCAGCATACAACGAACGAAACGTCGTGAATATGGCAATAAACATGAGGGCAACAATCTGATCGATGTAAATTGTATAAATAGTGTAAATAACTCATCTCAGAAATATAGACCGATACAAGGAACGAAACGTCGTGAATTAATAAACATGAGGACAACAATATTATTATTAGTGTAAATAACTCATTCATTTTATTTTATTTATCTATTCAAATGTTCCGGATTATTTTCTAAGTTTCAGGTTCATATTTGAAAAGTGTTTATCTGACTTTTAATATTATCTATAAATTATGTCGAATATTTTTTGAGAGAGAAATCAGAGCGCGAATTAAAGGATTTATCGTGTAAAATATCTCAACAGCGCTTTCTACATGTTTACGCATTACACTCCTCCCTGCCTCTGTATCCGTTTACTATTAAAATCGAGATGACTTCGGGGTCTTTTATGTTTATTTATTTTGGTCCTGGTGTTATTTAATTATAGACTTTTCGAAGTAAAGATGTCTTCTTTTAAAGCTGCTATTTTGTGTTTCCTTGTCAAGATATGTTAATAGCATCATGGTATCATGCAACATTAACTCAGTCTCTCCCTCTAGGTTTTTGTGCCAGCTAACATCCAGAGAATCCCTGAATAGAGTGATCTTTTTTCTTTTTTTTGTCAGGGGATCGAGGGGTAATTTGAGGCTTCCGAGAAACAAATAAACAAATAGAATATCTTGGGGTTTCAGTTGCCCAGAACAACAAATTTCGGCGTACTTCCTCGTGACTGAGTAAATAAACACGGCGCTAACAAGTTCCATTTTGCCTCCAGGTAGTTTTTATGACGGATCTTCTATAAACAGCAAATGCAATATAAAACCAGTAGTTAAGCCAGGGAGATTATCAAACTTTCGAAATAAACCGCTTTATATATATTTATCATTACTCATTTACTTATCTATAGTGTTCCCTTTATCTTATTAGTGTTGCTTTTTCTCACAAGAGTCTCATTATTAATATTTTATTTTCTCGCCTGTATTTTACCATAGGGATCCCGATCTGCTCTCAAGTGTTCGTTGTATAAATTTGTTATTCCATCTCTTCCAAATGTTGCCTCAAAACTGAAGAGACAAAGAACAGGTCGGCACTTTGTGCAATAAATCATCGGCAAATGTTCTTCCGTGGTGAGTGGCCAGAGGGCGAAAGATACTGCAAACGTTTCAAATGATACGGATCCGGGAGCTGCACTTGAAGTACCCTCCATACAATGTACAACATTCTCAGGCCACTTGACATCTGCTGATACCTGGATCCTTTCCGACAACCTGTAGAATGTGTTATTCATTGTCAGGCGAACGAGCGGAACTCGATCTTTAGTTTGTGGTATCACGGATCCTGTCTAACCAAAGAAATGATAAACAGCAGCAAAGGTTGTACGATTCGGCTGCCTGGAAACGCAAACTGATACTGCCGAGTAGCCTCGCGTCCAT